TTTTGCCCAACTAGCCTTCTTATATAGCTTAGGACCACCTGCTTAGGGATGGTTCCACCCACAGTGGGCGTGGCCTCCTACATCAATTAACCATCAAGACAACCCCCACACACCTGCCCACAGGTCAATCTAATGGAGACAATTTCCTAATCAAGACTTTCCTCTCAGATGACTAGGCTGTGTCAAGTTGACAATGAAGGCTAGGTAGGGCAGCATAGGTACCAAGAACCTAGTTGTTGATTGACTGCTAAAGTCCACTGACCCAAGAATCATTAGATGACAGCTTTACGAACAAATAGAACAAGAAAGGGCAACATGTGTAACCTCAGCCAAGACAGCAACAGTAAAATAATTAGAAGGCTTGCACCATGGTTTTCAGATTACATTTTATATAAGTGATCTAAATTTAAACCAAGGTGCTCAGGCATGTCTGGTCACATAGGACTGCCCTGAATTTTACCAACTGATCTCTCTAAAGGCTGAGATCCCAAACTTGGTTATTAATCCAATGTTTTCTAGTTCCTGCTTGTCAGGGTCTTATAATAAGACTTAGTGTCTCATCCTTCCTTTTGGAAAGGACAACAGAAATCTCAGGACCAATATAGAGTCCTGATTCCAATGCCAGAGAACAGAGTCAGTGCTGAAGATAGATGTGAGAGGCACTCTGAGACAGACAATTGTTTTCTGATTGATCTCCAAGGAGTGGATTCTCCAAAGTGTTGGGTAAATAGAACAGAGAAATGGAATAAGCTCAAAACCCAAACAGGTCACAGTCCCCTTTAACTGGTCTTGAAATCACGATCAACATCAAAGGCTCATCAGGGAGGGAACATATACAAAAACAGCAGGCACAGGTGAGTTCAGGGGCACAGAACACCCGGGTTAGACAACCATGCCTAATCTTTGCTTCTAGCCTCTAGTTAAGGTCCTCAACTTTTCTTTCCTATGATATTCTATCTATGTATCTATCTATCACCTTTGACAATTCAGTCCGCACACTTGTCATGGGGCTCTTTCTACAACACAGCTATGACCACATCTTTTCCTTAAACACAGAAACAAGCTAGGCAGGACGGTGTGCACCTGAAGTCCCAGTTCAGAAGGCCAAGGGAGAATGTGTGCAAGGCCAACATAGACAACTTAGTAAGATCTCGTCTCAATTTTAAAGAGGGGGGGCTGGTGATGTAGCAGTAGCAGAGTACTTGCCTAGCATGTAAAAAGCTCGGTTAAATCCCAGCACTAAAAGTATTAATATTAATACTAATACTAATACAGCAGTTCGATGCCCTTCCTATGCCCTCAGGAAAAGGCCCCAAATCTGCATGGCTTATGAAGGTCTTTTCCTACTAGACCCTGGTAGACCTGCACGTCTAGCCTCTCTTCACTCTCGCCCCCCACATTCCATTGACACTACAGTACACAGCATCCCCCACAGACACAGCCGAGTTCCATCTGCAAAGCAGAGTTCCAACCTTAAGGCCTAACTCAAGTGCCCTCTCTTGAGTTAAGTTTACTCTCACTTGCTTATCTCCACCCTGGGAAGGTGGAGTTGATCTCTCTATGCTACAAAAGGCACCTTACCATACCGTTTATTACTATAACTTAGAGACTTGGGACACCATTTTGGGCGGGGAAAGGTTTTTACTTTCGTGTAACCCTTCTACCCTTAGCATGATGGGACTGAAGGTGATTTTAAGAAAGAAAGAAGAAAAAAGTTAATGCCCTTCCTTCATGGAAACAGTAAGCTCCTGGCAGAGCCCAAATAAAAGTCTAAGTTGTCCGATGCCCAGAAAGGAAACTACTTTCTACAGTAGCTACTTCTACTGTAACTATCTGTGTGGCTCCTCACTGACCTGGACTTTGCCATGGGGACAAAGACTGACATTTGCTGTCTTGCAGACACCCAAGCTGCTGTCTCTAAGGAGAGCCTTCTGTGCCTCTCCTAGGGACAGGTTTTGATTCCCAAGGGCTCTGAGCCGAGCTGTGGGCGGTGACAAAGCAGGTGAGTCATCCCAGCCCACACCAGCACTCTGCCTGTGTTGGCCGATATGGGAAAGGGATATTCCGAACCAACTCAGGCCCCACAGCGAGGTGCAGTCACGGGCAAGGCCCACCTCTCTCCACGGTGACAAAATCAGGAGTGAGGCTTTTGCTCTCTGGACAAACATGAAGGAGAAAGCTACAGCGTGGGATTAAGGTGAAGGAGTACAACCGCCATTCTGTTGGACCCCATCTGGAGAGGAAATAAGCAGTCTGTTCTCTGCCTGTTCTAACTGGTGTCCCTTCATTTCTCTGAATTTAAAGCTTTCAATAAAAGCACAAATAATGGACAGGAAGCATTTAGTGCTGTTCCCCTTCCCTCTCCCACCCCAGTCTCCACCAAGACATTTATTTTATAGGTGAATTTCGTTCTAAGCAAAGGAATCACGTTGAGGGGAGAATCTTCATTTTGCAAATTCTCTCCACCATAAAAAGCCCAAAGCGTTTGTTCTCTCTGACCGTGTGTAAGGTCCTCTATCAGGAACTGGGGAGACCCAAACACCAACACAGCCGATTCTCTACCCCAGCCCAACGAAAAAAATAAACTGCATATCCAAATAACAGAAGGGAGATGTAATTAGTGTAGGGAAGGTCTACAAAGCTGAACTCAGAAATCCCGAGGAAATTGACATAGAGGCACATCCTTTGGAAGGTGTCATTGTGCTGAGCCTTGAAGAATGGGTGTTGGCATTGTAAGTAGCTGAAATGGCCTGTAGATGAAGGAGACACCACCATCAAAGGAGCGTAGTAGGGTATACAGATACACAGACCACAGAGAGAAGCGAACGCTAGGCAGACCCACAAGTAAGCTAAAACAGTACATGTGCTATGCCCAAGATTCGGGAACACTGGAAACAGCATGCAGAAAAGGCTCTGAAGAGCAAACATACAAAATGAACCCAAATACTCTAGCAACAGAGTTTATTCTGAAGGAGAAGTGTGTCAGGACAAATCTTATATTAGAATGAGATGGATGTGGGCCCTGCCCTTATTGTCTGTGGTTTTCAAATTTTTCTATAATGGACTCAGTAGGGTGTGTGTATGTGTGTGTGTGTGTGTGTGTGTGTGTGTGTGTGTGTGTGTGTGTGTATGTATGTGCGTGTATGTGTGTATATGTATGTGTGTATGTATGTGTGTGTATATATATGTGTATGTATGTGTGTGTGTGTGGAAAGAGAGAGGGGAGGAGGGAGGGTAGGAGGAGAGAGGAGGAGCAGAAAGGGGGGGGCGAAGGGAGGGGGAGGTAGTTGTGGTAATGATCACAGGAGGAGTTAAAGTGAGGAAAGGGGAGGGATAGAAATGATGTAAATACAATGTACTCGTCAATGAAATTCTCAAAATCATAAAAAATTAAATTACGATGTCTGAAATTTACATTTTAAAGAATGTTCCCCTAGGCAGGAGTTGGTAGTCCAGATGGCTCTCGTTGAGCAGCTCAGAACTCCTAATTCTGGATCTGAAGGATCCGATACCCTCTTCTGGCCTCTCCAGGCACCCATGCACACACACTCACTCACATATGTACAAACAGACACACATGTAAACAAATTTCCTTAATATAAATAAATAACTTTTTAAGTTCTCTAGGTGAAGTCCCTTCTTTCTACATAATGGACTGCTATGGAGTTGAATAAATACTGGATAGGGAGCATCTAGCAGGGTGCCAGGCATGTAGTCCACAAACCCTGTTACTTCCTTTGATGAGGACCACAGAAGAAAGGTTCCTGAGCCTTCTAGGTAAGAAGAGGTCAAAAAAGATTCTGAAGAGGAAGCACGGAAGGAGCCCAAGGATTTTAGGCTTTTGTCCCTATAACACACATGTTAGGGGTGCTGGTGAAACTCCCCACCAAACTGGCTGTTGCTTATCCCCGAAGAACTCCGTGTTCCTCCAGCAGCACCAGCAATGCAATTAACAAACTGAGCCTGTGGGTGGAACACCGAGTAGGAGTTGAGCAGAGAGGAAGGCAGCACCCTGGGCTCCTGCCCAGATCCTGGGGAACTCAGGAATCAGGAGGTGGGTAAGGATGGCTCCAGGCAGAGACATTTTTAATTCCATTTTAAAGCTCTCTTACATAGGAAAGCCAAACAGAAATCCAAGATATTCCTTCAGATTTCCACACTTGCTCTTTTAATCTAAAGAAGGTGGCCTGTTGAGACCAGCAGGGGAGACAGCAATCCACGGGAACTTCGTGCTGATGGCCTGTCCTTGTAGCTGTCCTAGAACAGTCCCACAAGTCGACAAAAAGCACAGCAAGAGCTCCTCGGTGATCGCTGCCACTTAAGATACCTGCTTGCTTCTTGCTCGCTCTTTTGTTCTACATTCACAGGGAACCCACCATGAGAATGCAAAATTCTAGAAAGGCAGACAGATGTCAGCTTAATTATTCAGGTAGATCTCCATCCCATAGGTTATTTCAGTGGTCAGGTTTGTTTTTTAATCGGTCAAATAGAGAAAATCCAGTTTATGGGAAAATACAATGGACATGCTTGACATTACATGCTAAAGAAATGTATACACACGAATGCAACCTTTTTATTAGATCAAATGTTATGCTAGGTGTCTTTGATTGCCCCCTCAGGGTATCTGCCTCCTTTTCCACCCTGTTCTGTACTCTAGAAATGTTCTGTTTGAACTACATCAAGACTCTCTTACTCAACCTCTGATTCTATCTGGTTCATGGGCAGCCTTGACAGACAAGGAGGGAGTGAGGACTGTTTTTATTCATCGAATTCCTTTCCTTATCCCTTGACTCAAAAGTCCCAGCTCTACTAAGATGCAATTCTACACAGCTTCTCTATCTCTGGAAGAACGGGTGGTTCAGATCCCATTATTACTAACCCCAGAATACTCCACTACTGCAGTTCATTCCCTATACCTTTCCTCAAATTACCCAATTCAAACGTGCCTCCCCTCCTCATCCCCCCCCCCCCCCCCACACACACACACAGGATCTCTTGTAGCCATGTATCCCAGGCTGGCCTTGAATTCAATCTGTAGCCAAAAAGAACTTTCAACTCTGATCCTCCTGCCTCTCTACTTCCAGAGTTCTGAATCAAACCGAAGGAGTCTTGAATGCCACAGGAACACTCTCCCAAATGAGCTCTGTCCCCAGCCTGCCATCTGTTTCCTGCTGGACCTAATAAGGCGTAGCCACTAGCTTGCTCTATGACCCTGGGGCAGTTTCTTGTTTCCGGGCCTACAGAATGAGTTGGACTACACAGCTTCATGTGCCACAATTCCCTGCCCCTGCTGGGTAGTCTGCTCATTTAAGGCCAGGAAAGAAATGTGCACAGCGGGGTCCAGTTCACTAATGAAGAGGGTAGGATGGGCAGCTTCCTCCCTTCCCTGCAGTGTGTCTTCCCTTAGCCCCTTCCTAAGGGCTTTCCTCTTCTCAGGCTTTAAGATACCAGATACCAGCCAGGCAGTGGAGGCCCGCACCTTAATCCCTGCGCTCAGGAGGCAGAGGCAGGCAGATCTCCGTGAGTTCGAGGCCAACCAGTTCCAGGACAGCCAGGGCTACACAGAGAAAAAGTGTATCCGTTCCTTTCTGACCACAAAGGCCCTGCCCCGGGTTTTAACATAACCAAGGAAGCAAAGTACGGAGTCAGCGTTCTCCACCGACCTGCACAGAGAAGCTACACTTGTTTCTGTGCTGGGAAATGCTGGGGAAATCTCTGCCTTCTGAATGACCGTAACCTGAACGCTGCTGAAAGATACAAAGTGCTCTGAGTTCAGATCTCTCACTGGACTTGTTCCAAGAAGACTCTAATAATTTTATATTCTGATGGGGAGGTTTACAGAGGGTGCTGGGAGTAGAATCCTGGGCCTCGCGTGTAAATCAAGTGCTCTCTGCCTATTCCAAGGCGTCTTTGTTTCTCTTTTGTTTACCTATTTATTTATTTTTGAAACAGGCTCTCTATGTAGTCCGGCCGTCTTGGAATTCACTATGCAGATAGGCTGGCCTCAAACTCAGAGATCTGCCCGATTCTGCCTTCTCTTTCTTTAGTGCTGTGACTAAAATGCTACCACAGCCAGCGCTGGTTTCTTGAGGAAACTACTACAGAATCTCTTAAGTCCTTTCAGCTCCTAAAATTAGTGATTGGGGTGAAGGAGCACAAATAATTCCATTCCCACCACAACATTCGCCCTGGCAGCCTATAGCTGCCGCCTTCATCAGTCTCACCCAGGGTAGCGTCCCCTCACCCTGAAGTGGGGGAAAACCCTGGGACAGCTCCTAAAATCTTCACTTCCTGTTTTACCGGAGGGGCTGGCCCTGGAGAAAATATCCCTCTAAGAAACAGCAAGCCCAAAACCCTCGGCAAGTACAAGGCCCCTGTGGGTCCTGACGCAGAACTTTCCAGATCCTCTCAGGGCTTCGAAGTCGTCAGTACAGCAGCCTCAGAAGGCAGAGACTCGGCAGCACCAGCCTTCAGGACACACAGTCTCGTCCCCTGGGTGACTCGGCCGGCTCTTCCGCCTCACGGGCAGGTCGGTGAGGTGATGGCGTGCAGCTACCTCGCGCCCCACTAGATCTCGGACACGAGAAAAAGCTCGGACACGAGGCGCTGAAGGGACCTGGAGCCTCCACGTCCTCTTCGCCCGGGCGCCCAGTCCCCGCCCACGCGAGACCAGGCGCAGCTCCTCCAGGAAGCGCCGCTCCGGCTTCCGCGTCTGCGCATGCGCCTGTGCCAGCCCAAGAAGCGCCGAGAGAAGGCCGCTAGGGGGCAGGGCGGAGCCCTGCGGTCGCGCGCGTGCGCAGCAAGCTCGTGGCTGGCTGCCTGTTTGCGGGCCCCTTGCAGCCGGTGCTGTGGTGTGTGCCTGTCGGCCCCGGGCCGGGCCGAGTGACTGCTGGGTAGGTGGTGACCCCCACCTCAGGAAGACCTGTTTGTGTGGAAGAAGCCTAGGGTGAGAGACTGGCCAAGTTCAGTCCGGAGCCCCACTTCCCCGCCTTCAGGACCCTGGTTCAGAACTGGCCTCGCTTTCCTCGTAAGATCAGGAGCACGCTGGGGAAGAAGGCCAGGGCCAGGTACAGCCAGTGACCCGGCAGTCTTAGGAAGAGGAACCAGATTTGGCCACATCGAGGATTCCAGCTGCATCCCGTGCCTTCCAGAAGTGCATCGTCTCCCTGCCCTGTCCACCCGTGGGATAGGGAGGTGGAGGACCAACAGCAGTCCTGTGTCCTTACAGGGCCGCAGGAGCATCAACACATCGTATCCGTGCCTTCGCAAACACTGCCACCTGTTAACTGGCTGCCCGAGATGGAATATCCCAAAATGTCACAAGGAACCAGAGAAGGGACATGGATTAGGACTCCCTAGTGCCCTGTGGGTCGAGGTCTAATCGGGACTGCCGCACAGGGCCAGGCTGGCGGACGGAGTTTCTCCTCCACATCCCCAGCTCTTAGGAGTGGGAAGATAAGAGACCCCCCAACATATCCCACCCAACAGATCCATGGGCTGCCCACTGGATCTTCCATTTCTGGGTGCTGTTCTCTGCCCAGCAGTTTGAAGTAGCCTAGACTCCCTGGACTTTCACATTTAAAGCCCAGGTTCCTCACTTTGATTGGTCTGCCTTTCATTGTCACTGCCACACAAGGATTCACCTTCCTGTGTGTGTAAACCCTCCTCTTCCCCAGGATCCCTCTTCCTCCTCGCTGACCTACCAATCCTGTCCAGCCATCTCCCTCCCCAAGCTTGATCACCTTTTCTGGTGTTCTGGCTGGCTCTGAAGAGTCCTGATTTGATGAAAATACCCTTTTCAACAAAGGTAATATACTACTGTTCAAACAAATTTAACAGTTTCAATTCATTGGTTCTTTACAAATGAGAAAAGGGGGAAATATTTGAAGACGGAGACAGGAAAATCACTTTGATCCAGGCAGCCCAGACCAGCCTGGTAAGATAGCAAGTCCTCATCTTGAAACAAATAGGTAAGAAAATCTTGGGTTAGACTTTGTGTCCTGATACTGTGATTTGAAAAATGTCGCCCTATTCCTGGGGACTTCCCTAATCACTGCCTCTCCTGTGCCTTGGGTCTCCCAGTAACTAGCCACTTCCCCAGGACAGAAATTATACCTTATAAATCTGAAAAACTTCCAAATCTTTTGAAATAATGCTGAGAAAATCACTAGCACTAGAATATATGGAAATATAACAAATATTTTCATACTCTTCACAAAATAATCTTTTGTTTGTTTTTGAGAGTCTCAAACTATGACTTCCTGTGTGCTGGGCGTATAGGCACAAGCCACCACATGCAGCTCAAAGTCACCTTTATTAGTCATTGAGAAGTATATACTGTATACCATGACTTTAGGCTCCAGGCCAGCACAAACCGGTTGTTGATAAGGCTATAATAGAGTTGGACCTGGTGGCACACACCTAGAATCCCACCACTTGGGAAGCTGAGGCAGGAAGACCATGAGTTTGAAGACAGACCAGGCTACGTAGCAAGTTCAAGGTCAGCCTGAGCCAAATAGTGAGATTCTGTCTCAAAAAGATCTTTCTTTCTTTCTCTTTTATTTTTTTATTTGTTTGTTTCTTTATTTACTTATTTTGTGTGTGTGTGTTTTGTTTTTCGAGACATGGTTTCTTTTGTGTAACAGCTCTAGCTGTCCTGGCCTTGAACGCACAGTGATCCACCTGCTTCTCTGCCTCCCTAGTGCTGGGACTAAAGGCATGTGTCACCACACACAGCCATCTTTTCCTAATGTGTGTGTTTCTTGTGATTTTTTTTTCTGTTTGTTTCTTTTCTCCTATTCTGGTTTATTTGTTTTTACTTTATCTTATTATTTTTTAGATGCTTGTCTGTTTTCTAATGAGAGAGAGAAAAAAATGGTATGTATTTGGGTGGGTGGGGAAGATCTGGGAAGAGTTGGAGAGGGGAACTGTAATCAGAATATATTGTATAAAAAATCTATTTTCAACAATAATTTTAAAAAAGAAGTGAAGACTGTAGTAGGGATGCATGCTGGCTCAGCCAGGAGAGACACGTGTGTGCTGGCCTGACAGCCTGAGTTCAGTCCCTGGAGCCCACGTGGCTGAGGACGAGAACAGACTCTCAAAAACTGTCCACATGCATACATGAGCATGCATACACACGCAAGCATACACACACATGTATATGTACATACACACACACACACACACACCAAATAAATAAATAAACAAATTTTAAAATAAAAAGATTCAAAGTAGTGAATGAGCACTCAAAAACTCAAGCAAATCTTCTCCAGGTTGTAAAGAAGGCTTAGGGTCAGAAAATCAGTGTTGCCTAATGTGGCCCTGAGCAAATAACCTAGCATGAGCCATGCAGGGAGCTGGGTGTTGAGCAGCATCCCAGCCCTCCCAGGTACACATGCCTTCATCCTGGCCACTTTGGCTATCAGTCTCATTGGTAAAAAATGCCTAACAATAGTAGTAATGACTGAAATTTACTAAGTACTATCTGTGAGTTGTGTCCTGTGTCAAGTCAAACACATTGCACGTACCAAGCCATTTACTCCCTACCATTTCCCCATAAGGGAGGAACAGTCACTGTCTCCATTTTATGAGTGAGGAAACTGAAACACCCTTTAGTCATTTGCCCAAGACCACCTTGTAGCAAGCCCAGGATCAATCCCAGGCAGTGTGACTACAGTCTGTGTGCTGAGCTCTGCTAGCCAGCAACCTCCCTGCAGGGTTGTGAGGATTCAATTAAACAGTGCACATAAAGCCGGCATCGCACCAGACACAGACGGCATGATTAGCCCATCTTCGTTAGCCATAAGGGTGCTTTGCCTGCAGGCCTGAAGCCCAGTTCCTGGCACAAAATACTCTAGAAACGCCCTTTTCCTAGTGGTCAGTCCCCACTTTGGGTCCTCTACACATTGTAGGTAAACAGCCTACATCCCAGAGTGCAAGCAGGTGTAGGAAAAGTCCCTTTATGCTTGAGAGTTTATCCTTAGGACAAGAGGTGGGCACAACCTGCTGAACACACCTTTCCTGTGTACAGTTCCAGGTCACTAGGCAGTTTGTTTTTCTGTTGCCTCCTCCTTATTGCCTTTGTGATCTTCTAGAGAACACTTTCTTTGTGTTAGAAAAAGCCCAAGCTTTATGTCACCAAGGAGGAATTGGCATTAAGTACTGCCAGTTATCTGTGAGGTTTCTAAGGCTGAGACACACCAGCAAAGCCAGGGGTTCCTTGAATGCCTCTTCTTGGGTCTCCATCCTGGGTGGGCCATCCAGAATCTCACACACACACACACACACACACACACACACAGTCACCTTCTCCTCCAGCATCTACTTATTCATTCCAGTAGCATACAAGTAAAGGGTTACTGTGTATCTGACACTATACTAGACACTTAGGCATCTTTGGGCCACAAAAGCACACATCTTCACCTGTTCTCCACTCCCTCAGACTTCACTTGAATGTTTTTCCATGTCCCTTATATATGTAACCATATGTAGAGGACACCTACATATGTCCTTACACATATTCTTTGCACTCACATCCCTCACATTTCCTATGTTTTGAGTGGTTCTGCCTTCTCTGTTTTCTGTTTCTTTCCCAATTCCAATAATGGCAGCACTGAGCTGTGGAACAGCATGAATCTGAGGCTTGTATTTCTCTTTGAAGAAGACCTTGCTGCTTGCCTTCCCTCTTCCAGGGCAAAGCTCTGTATTTCTGGCCTAGACCCAGGCTGCAGCAGGTGAGCATGTCAGGGTCCTCAGGGTGCAGCAGGTGAGCAGGTAGGGGTGCTCAGGCTGCAGCAGGCGAGCAGGTAGGGGTGCTCAGGCTGCAGCAGGTAAGCAGGTAGGGGTCCTCAGGCTGCAGCAGGCGAGCATGTCAGGGTCCTCAGGCTGCAGCAGGTGAGCATGTCAGGGTCCTCAGGCTGCAGCAGGTAAGCAGGTAGAGTTGCTCAGGCTGCAGCAGGTGAGCATGTCAGGGTGCTCAGGCTGCAGCAGGTAAGCAGGTAGGGGTCCTCAGGCTGCGGCAGGTGAGCAGGTCAGGGTGCTCACTTATTCAAAGATTCCCTAGATCAGGTGAGTGTGGGAGAACATGGCCCACTTGTCTGGCCCTAAGCTCAGCCCCTCCTGAGCCAGAGAACCCAGAAACATTGGCCTTGGCCACTGACTGGACCCTTCCTGGCATAACTGTATGGGTGTGGCCTACATCTGTGTGTCCTGCTCTCCCTTTTAGGTTCTTTCCAACCTTCCACGTCTTTCCCTTTCAAATTAGCTCTTAAACCATGATAAGACACCTCTTGGGAGGATTCCAGAGCAGAAAGCTTCCAAATTAAAGGATCCCTACTCTGATCAGGACACCAAAAACAATGAAATGTGGTGGGATGAGTACTGGCTCAAGGAGTCGGGACATGTTCAAAACACACATGTCCACACCTGTAGAGGGATGGCCAGTTTCTGGATTAGCTAGAGGAAGGTGGCCATCTTACCATTCTGGCAGACCCTACCTCATCACAGCCATGGAGACCATGAGGTAAGGTAGAGGAAATGAGCCTGTGGGTGTCACTGTCTGAGCTGCTCTGTGAAGGACCTGGGAACGGAAACGTCAAGTGATCCCTGTTCAAAAGGGACACTGCCCTGGGTGTCGGAAGTAATGAACTAAGGCGCTTCAGAGGAAGAAGCCCTTTGGGTTTCCCGCCATACGCAGTGGGCCTTGGCTTCTCCTCTGCCAGCTGAGGACTGAATTCTCCTCCACACCCAGGAGGCTAGGTGCTGGAAGGAGCCCCCAAAAGGGGGGCCAGCGGACATGAGAAAACAAGGCGAATGCTTTAAACTTGAACGTGAGTACACTGTACTAGATAAATGGAAGCCAAGAGACTGACCTGGCTGGAGACAAGAAGGACAAGGTGTTGAAGAGAGATTGGAACTTTATTGAGACGTTCTCCCTGACGAAACCAGAGTGGAAAGAACACTGGAAAGGTTGGCCACTGTTCAGGCACCTACATGGATTCCACTCGGGAAATCCCTGGATCTCAGGCTTCTCCTGGGATGAAACTCCCTCCTCCTAGAGTCAGAACCCTACTCAGAACCCATCTCTGCAGAACTGTTCAAAGAACGGGTGCTAAACTCTGTGCTGGCCCATCAGCAGCCCGTGGGCAGGAGAGGAAAGTGAATTAGGGGGTGAGAAGGGGAACAGGATGGAGACAAAGGAGAAAAGGATGGAGGAAAATCCAAATGGAAGGTAATGCCGATAAGGTGCCCTCCCCCAAATACAAATATGAATTTGCTTGCCTTATTTCACCTGCTTCCCCAGGCATGCAGGCACTGACAGCTAGGACAGGGTCCGTACGGTCCGCTTGGCTCCCCGTCTCTCTGACTGCACTGAGAAAAACCAGATTTGCTACACAAAGCCCTCAGGCGTGAGGAGCATGAAAGAGAAAGGTGGAAGGACAGTCTCTCCAGAGAGCAAGTGATGGAGAGATGCGGAGTTTGAGGGTTGGGTGTGTATTTTAATGAGAAAAAATCCAAGACAGACTGCAGCTCATCTACCTGAGTAGACGACCCTATGAAAGGAACTCACTCCTTGGAAACAGTGTCTTGGCAGCTTTGGAGCATTTGACTTGTGGGAGGTCCTGGGCCCTACATAGAGCCAAAGCAGCAGCTTCCCTTATAGCCAAACAGCTAAGTATCAGAGAGACATGAACTCCTAAACTGAAGTTCCTTATATAGCCCCCACTGATGACCAATCTGCTTATACTCCCTACATGATCCTCAGAAGGAACGACTCGGGCTCAGCCTTCCTTCCTTCCCCACTTTGCTTCTGCTCCAGATGACTCACAGGTACTGGTGGATCCCAACTCATGCCTTACAATCAAGGTCCTCAGGACAACTTGCTCCCAAAGAAAAGCAGTTGGCTGTGCTCAAAGGGCCCTCAAGACAGCCTGACCTTCACCTTGCCTGCTCTTCATCCTCCCAGGGCTTCTGGCTCCCATGTGCTCCAAGGTGGCAGTGTATGTCTGCCATGCAAGACTCTGAGGAGTCCTTTCTCTGTGCCCTCAAGTCTGTCATTGCCCTAGCTCTCTCTTACAGTGGGCACACAAATGCACACTCACTGGTGTGTGAAGGTCCTGGCTGTCCTGACTGCATTCAGTGGATATCTGCAGAAGTTCAGATGGAACCGGAACCTCAGACCTTGTGTGCCACCAATGCCAAGGGCTGGGGCTGGTTCTGAGTCTAGGGAATTTCTCTCAGATGGAAGTATTGGTGCATCAGGGAATGGAGAAGAAGGAGAAGGAGAAGCCACAGTCCTGGGAACCAAGAGAGACATGTCATCTGTCAAGGGTTCCCACAAAGAAGTTGTAGAAACAGTTTCCCCTGAAACTTGGGAGAAGTGGCTTCCAAAGAAGCCTCCAAGGACCAGGAACAAGGTCCCCATTGTCCTTTCTGAAACCAACACCTTTGTGATCTGAGTTTTCCAAGACATGCAACAGACAAAGACACACTGCAAACCAATTAACCCCTGAGCCCTTCCAGTGCTTTCATGTAAGCCATTTTCAGGAGGAAAAGTACTTCTGGAGTACATCACCCACTCACCCTCCTTTTAGGGCCAACTAAGTGTCTGAGCTCTCCAACTGAGACATCAATGAAATGATACTTGGGGTAGCAGATCAGCATCCTAATCAAAAAACTCTTGTTTTAGTGTTCTGGATGCCCTACCGGTTGGGAAGATGGAGAAGATTCCAAGGTTGGGCTCAGAATTCATGAAGATCAGACTCAAGAGACTGTCCACTGCTGAAAGCCAACCCAAGCGTAGGAGGGAGCCAAAGAGGCAGAGGGAACGGACAGAAGATTTGTGTGAAAGGAGTTGACACTCACTGACCTGAAAACCCTCTAGTACTTGGGAATTCGACTGAGGTTGGCTTATTTGACCCTCATTATCTGAGTAGTCATTAGAAGTTAGCTGCTCTCTGTCCCTCCAAGACGAGACCCAGGAAAAACAAGGGAAGCCTGGCTTGCCCGTGTTGGGCCTTGTAACGAAGCAATAAGACAAGCACACTATAATTCACAGTTTCCACTCTCCTCCCTAGAACCCTTGTTCCTTCCCTGATTCATCGGCCTCAATGAACTCCCCAATCTCCAATGCAGACTGATTGTCACCAGTATGGCTCAAAGGGTTAATAAACCAGGACTTCTCAGACAGTTAGGACGTAAGCTCATTCGCCAGTGGGGACCCGAGAATGGCTACACACAAACTAGTGCTTCTTGTAGCGATTCTTTGGGGTCTCACCACAGCCTGTTTTGTCACAGTTAGGAGCACCTGGATTCTTCCCAAGCCCAAGGCTCCCCAGAAGACTGGGGAGCTCCTGGGTGATGGCCCGTTCAATCTTCTCCAGGAAGCAACCCCCCATGTAAGAGCACTGTTGAGAGAGGAGTTTGAAGTTGGAAATGGGGTTGATGCCAAAGAAGTCCTTGTAGGCCTCACGGTTGGGAAGGTCAAACTTGCTGACATTGGTCTTTGCCAGGATGGTCTTGAAAATGTAGAATTTATCAGGATCTTCCACAATGTCCTTAAAAACCAGTTCCCCATCGCTGAAGAAGGTCATTTTGTCCTTGTAAGTCTGCAGATAGCGGTCAACTAAGAGAGCGTGGATTCGGACACGGATGGCATGCTGGCGGATAAAAGCGATCTTGTTCTCTAACCTGTTCTCAATCACCTGGTTCAGGTCTTCCAGGAGAGAGATCTCTTCTTTGAGGAACAGTTCCCGGTGGGTGTCAGGCTTATAGTCCTGTGGCCAGAAGGAGCTGACATAAACCCGTGGAGGCTCTGTGACATTGATAAGAGGGGCCAAGCTCCAGAAGAGAGCTCCGTATACCCGCATGAGCATTTGTGTGGCCAAGTTGTCAGCCTTGTTCAGAATGATCCTTATCTGAGACTCCCGTCCCTTCAGCTGGCGGAAGAGTGTCTCCAGCTCCAGACCCACATCCAACTTGGTGGGATCAAAAACAACAAAGATGAGGTCGGCTCTGTCGATGAACCATTGGCACACGTCGTTGAAGGGGTAGCCTTGGGGAGACAGGAATGAGAAGTCAGGCTGAGTGGGACACACACAAAGCCCTTTGCACCTCCCTCCAGTACCAGACCCTTACGTGGGCGGAACAAAGTTAGCACTGGCAGTTTCCTGGATTTCTAGAGACCAGTGAGCATTATCTCTTGCTTTTTGTCAACCTTTAATCAAGAACAGCCTGACTCATGCTTTAATATACAGTGGCTTCTGAGTCCCTAGTGAAGTGAAGTATTGTCCAAAGTGGAGCTTTTTGTGCAGTGTGTGGTAGTGCAATCCTAAAATTCCAGCACTCAGGGAAGCAGAAGCAGGAGGATCTTCAGTTCAAGGCTAGGCTGAGCCACATAATGAGACCCTGTTTCAAAAACAAAAACAGCAACAAAAAAGAAAAAAATCAGGACTAGAGAGATGTCTCATTGGTTAAGATCACTGGCAACCCTTTCAAAGGAGCCAGGTTCTGTCCCCAGCACCCACATGCCACTCACCACTATCTGTAACTTGAGTCTCAGAGGAGTCAACTCCCTCTTCTGGCCTTCATGGGCACCAGGCATGTATGTGGTGCAGACATACATGCAGGCAAAACAACCATACACATAAAAATAATTATTTTATTTTATTTTTGGTTATGGTTTTTTGAGACAGGGTTTCTCTGTGTACCCTGGCTGTCCTGGAACTCATGTTGTAGACCAGGCTGGCCTTGAACTCCTGCTGCTTCTGCTTCCTGAGTGCTGGAATTAAAGGTATGTGCCACCATTGCCCAGCTAAGAAATAATAAAAAATTTTAAAGGGAAAAAGCGAGTGATTTTCCAAATGTCTAAAAAGACCTAGGACAATGGCAAAGATGTTGAAAGAAGAGTATCAGGGAGTCAGAAGGAAAAGGGATGTATGATTTAAAGAGAAAAATGTGGGTCAAGTGTTGAGTGTCTGTCAAGACCTGGGCTAGCTACAGACCAGCTGGATGGTCACTCATCTTAAATTCTTACTCATAAGCTATAAAATTATAAAAAGAACAGTAATACCAAAGCTAACTTCAAGATTACTGTGTTAGGCTGGGTGTGGTGGTACACACCTTTGGTCCCAGAACTCAGGAGGCAGAAGCAAGAGAATCTCTGTGAGTTCAAGACCAACCATAAAAGTTCCAGAACAGCCAGAGCTGTCTCAAAAACAACAAAAATAATAATACTGTTATAAGAGATGGAGATAGAAAGATCACTGTGTTTCAAACAGGCAAGCACCCAATTAACTCAGCAGCCATACAGGTGTTCATTATATATGAATTCTCACTTGCTCTTTCCTTGGTTTTTTTATTTACAAAACAAGATGACAAGGATGTGATGGCTGTTCATGGTTGTCAACTTGACTACATCTGGAATGAACTAAAACCCAAGTGCCTGGGTTCACCTGTGAGGGAATTTTCTTCTTTTTTTTTTTTCTTTTTTTTTTTCGAGACAGGGTTTCTCTGTGTAGCTTTGCGCCTTTCCTGGAACTTACTCTGTAGCCCAGGCTGGCCTCGAACTCACAGAGATCCATCTGCCTCTGCCTCCCGAGTGCTGGGATTAAAGGCATGCGCCACCACTGCCCGGCTGGGAATTTTCTTAATTAAATCATTTGAAGTGGGAAGACTCACTTTTAATCTGATCTTTTGAGGTGGGAAAAGCCACCTTTAATCTGGGCCATACCTTCTGCTGGCAGCCTGTATAAAGGACATGGAAGAAAGAAGCTTGCTCTCTTTGCCTGCTTGCCCTCCATCTCACTACCAAGTTCATTCCTTCACTGGCATTAGAGCCTACTTCTTCAGGATTCCAATGTATACTGAAGACCAGCTGACACATCCAGCCTTGTGGACTGAACAACTACTGGATTCTTGGACTTTCTGTTAGTAGATAGACAGCAGTTGCTTGTAATCCATTCTAATAAGTCCCCTTTATATCTAACTATAGCAATATAGAGTGATATTATACACATATCATATATACATATAGAGAGAGATGATAGATAGACAGACAGACAATAGATAGATGATAGATTCATTCTATAAGTTCTGTTCCTCCAAAGAACCATGACTAATAGTTTTGAAAACAATGATTTTTTTATAATGACCAACAAAATAATGTATAAAGCTATCTGATTCATAATAGAGGCATAATAAGATTATCATAACTCTAAATTATATTAGGGTCTAGTTAGGCTGTGGAACAATCTTGGTACACTGTGACTATGTAGTACTCTCATTGGTTAATGGAGAGCTGACTGGCCAATAGCTAGGCAAGAAAAGGTTAGGTAGGACTTGTAGACAAAAAGAGAGCACAGGGGTAGAAGGGAGCGAAGTCACCAGCCAGACACAGAGAGAAGCAAGATGAATATGCCATGCTGAAAAAAGATACCACCACATAGTAGAGAACAGATAAGAAATATAGGTTAATTTAAGTTATAAGAGCTAGTTAGTAACAAACCTAAGCTATTGGCTGAGCATTTATAATTAATAATAAGTCTCTGGGGAGCTGGCAGTCCTGACGAAAAACTCTGCCTACATAGTTATAACCCAAACACAAGTCATAACCATCAACTGAGATTTGCCATTTGATCACCCATTACTATGACTGCCCTGGTTAGTACAGATAGCCCTGTGCCATGGCAGTATTCAGTGCCCTATTATACAGCCTAATGCTTACAGTCCCAGAATAGCAATGCCCTCCATCTGAGGCAGGTAGGGGCTGGGAAGCCTAATAAAGGTTTAGGTTAAAGCAGGCCCAACAAAGCAGATGTTGGGAGTAAGAAGAGATGTAGACCAAGTTCAACAGAATAAGCCCATGCCCAAGACCTAGGTTAGCCAGAATTCAAGTATAATGCACCAGGATCCCATTAGTCCAGGCCCTCCCCTATTCAGGATAGACTGAGTACCCAAAGACAGCTAGTCCCCAGCTTGGACATCTCCAAGACCTTACAGAGAAGACCAGTACTTCTCCTAGGAAAATACTGGCCATCTCCAAACTCAGGCATCCCTTTAGGAGACAGAGAACACGACACTCCAGACCCCAAGTGGTACCACAGTAGCAGTGAGAAGGAGTGGGGGTAAAGAATGCATCTCCTTGGTCTTGAACATTAACCATATTGCTTCCTTGCTGGACTACCATCCTCTGTTGATCACAGTATCCTAAAACAGCTCTTGCTATTCAGAAATGGATTCATGTGTGTGTTGTATGCATGTAAAGGTGCGTGTACCCATAAGTGTGTATACATTGAGAGAAGGATGGCAGGGTCTTCCTTTACTACTTTCTGTTTTATTTCTTTAAGACAGGGTCTCTCATTCTGGCTAGGCTGGTTTGGCCACAGAGCTCCAGGATCCAGGGATCCACCTATGCCCACCCTACAACACTGGCATTATAGGCACAGATAACCATGCCTCGCTTTTTTGGTTTTTTGAGACAGTGTTTCTCTGTGTAACAGCACTGGCTGTCCTGGAACTCATTCTGTAGATGAGGCTGTCCTGGAACTCACAGAAATCCACCTGCCTCTGCCTTCCAAGTGCTGGGATTAAAGGTGTGTGCCACCGCCACCAGGCTTCATGCCTGGATTTTGACACGGGTGCTAAGGATTTGAAGTCAGGCCCTCCTGCTTGCAGAACAGGTACTCTTACTCTGAGCACATCCCCAGCCCCTGAATTACCTCTTTCCTGTTGTTTGCGATTCTCAATGATGCCTGGTGTGTCTACAAAAGTGACTCGTTCTAGAAGTTTGTGGGGAACCTCGATGCCAATCAGCTTCTCCAGAAAATTCTGGCCAAACTTTTCCAGTGGTGAGAAGGATCGGGCACTGTCAGCAGCCATGACGATGCCCTCAATGGTTTTCAGCTTGGGCCCATGCATAAGGACAGTGAACTCGGAAGTGGTGGGTTCAGCACCTGCATGCATGGGTGAGAGATGGAAAACAATAGCCACTGAGAAACAGACTTCTGGAAGGGATGGGAACAAGCAAGGCGTCTTGGGAAGGGCTTCCACAAGGACAGGACAGGTGTGCCAGGTTCCTGCCTTCTCACTTTTTAATTGTGTCAAAATACACAGAACATAACATTTACATTTTAATCTTTAAACCTATAGTTCAATAGCATTAATATATTCACATTATCATGCAAACAGTTATCCTCACTCTCCAGAACTTTATCATCTTCCCACACTGAAACTCTGTTTCCATTAAGTAGTAACTCCCCATCCCCTTCCCTGGCAACCTCTATGCTTTCTCTGCCTCTGAGTTTTTCCTGTTGCGGCCCCTCGTATGAGTGGAATCAGACAGTGTCTGTGCTTTTGTGCCTGGCTTGTTTTACTTAGCACATTTTCAAGGTTTATCCATATTGTGGCAAGGATGTATCCGATGTGTTCAGACAGCATGCATGTTTCATTCCCTTCTATCTATGCTTTTGTGTGTGTGTGTGTGTGTGTGTGTGTGTGAGTGTGTGTGTGTGAGTGTGTGTGTGTGTGTGTGTGTGTGTGTATGTGTGTGTGTGTTGCTGCCATGGCACAGGGGTGGAGGTCAGAAGACAGACAACCATGGGTATCCTCACCTTCTATTTTACCTCTTGTACACTGCTACATAGGCCAGGTTAGCTGGCCTCCAGGCTCTCAGGGGTTCTCTTATCTCCAATTCCAATCTCCCTATAAAAGTACTGCAATCACAGACACATGTGCTACTCACCTGGCTTTTATGTGGATTTTATGTGGGACCTGGCTTCAAATCGTCAGGCTTGCATAGCAAGCACTTTCCCACTGAGCCATCTCCTCGGTTCTGCAACATTCCTTCCTAAGGCTAACATTCCATTGTATGCACAGGCTACATTTTGATTATTCCTTTGTCCAGCAGTGGACACTTGAGTTGTTTCTGTTTTATGAATAATGCTGCTGTGGAGGTGGTTGAGCTGCTGGATCTTGCATGTAATTTTCATTAATATTATTGAGGGCATACAAGTGCTTTAATTATTCATCTGCTTTAACAATTTACACCCCCCGTTCTCACCTGTGTAAAGCTGGTAGCGAGTGTCTTCTAGCCCGAGGAGGTAGTTTATCATGGTGGATTTGCCGACGCTCCACGGTCCCAGGAACAGCACCATTGGCTTGGAAGTAATCTCCCCATCTGTAGACAACAGGAATTAGAAAGAGAAGTGCACTAACACCAGTTCTTACTGTAGGAGCAGCACTGCTCTCCAAAGCACTCTGGATTCCCCACATCATCCATGTGGATCAAACTGTGCGGCAGTCAGTGGCACTTTTCTTGCTTTATAAGAACATTCACTCAAAAGACAGCAGAAGTCAATGTTTTGACCTTTTCCAGATCCTTTGCACATCTGGAAATATTTCTATAATTTTGTGGATTATTCCATACTGGCTCAGTGCTCACGCTGGGTGCAGTCTCTTGTCTAGAAAGAATGGTTCATAAAAAAGACAGAGCTTCTGCACTGAGAAAGACTGAATTTTGCTACCCAGATCAATAACAAGAGAAGAAAGGACATGGGAGAGGCACAGACAGTGTTGAACCATCTGAACTCACTGGGGCTCCCCAAACCCCATCAAAAACACAGACTAGTCTCAGATAGTCTGCTCCAAAGTCCATGATAAGTCTTCAGGGTCTGAAACCAAACACTGAAAACTGGGAATCCTTAAATTCTTGGGCCCTGAGGCCAAGGCCCTCCCTGACGCCATGCTGGGTAGCACACCCTACCAAGGCTACCCAGGTAGGGGAAGTAGAATTCTCCAGTGTTTTCAAAAATAGGGATGGGGGCTTAGGAGGGTGCTCAGTGGCAGAGCATTGGCATAGTATGTGTGATGCCATGGGTTAACTCCCCAGTATTGCAAATACAAAATAAATACAGGCAAAGAAGAGGGTAGACAGAGATAGGATTTTTCTTCTTGTTGATTTCTCCTCTTCTCGGTTCTTTTCTGAACGATCTCCACAGAGCACCTACATTCTCCAGACTTTTGCCTTCCTGAGCCTGCAGATAGCCCTCCAAAGGTAGGCCTCCTTTTTAAACTTTTTGCATTTATTTTTCTATAATTTTGTATAACATCTTGACTCAAAAGTGTGAAGTACAAAAAGACCCACTCTGTCTAGGCCGTAACACCCTCTCTAATAGGTAACTAATTCTAGGGTTTTTTCTATTTTTTTTTTAATTTTGAGACAAGGTTATATTGCCCAGGATGCTCTCAAAGTCCTGGGCTCAAGAATCCGGTGGTTCTCCTGCCTCAGCCTCCAGAGTATCTGAGACTATATTTGTATGCCACTACACTGGGCGGCATTGCTAATTTCTGGCATTTTCCCAGCTACCTTGATGTGTATAATCAGTGTTGTAGATATCCCAGCGCATCGTTTCTGTACAGTGTACAGTATGATTCCCCTTCTGCACCTGGCTTTTGGATGCCCGGCTTTTGTTTCTCTGGGGTAAATAAAGTCCTAGAAGATGGTGTCTTGTGCGTGGTGAGCACATATTCATGGCCTGGCCCCTTCCCTCCTGCCTGTAAATATACATAAGAGGCCCTTCGGCCTGGGGACAGGACGGATTATCGGGTCAAGAGGGGTATGCCCAGTTACAGAGATTTTACAGAAGGCCAGTCCGTGCTGGTTATGTGAGTTCTGAGACAGGGTTTCCGGGTGCTGCTGTACCAACTCTGCACAGCAGGGGGCATCGTGGGCATACCTGGGAGGCCAGTAATAAGCTTGAAGGGTAGGGGTCATGCAGGAAGCTGGCAAGAGATTAGGACAGAGAAGCCAAGTCCAGAAAGGGAAGCCAGAAAAGAGCCAATTGGCCTTTGCTGAGAACCAACCAATTGGCCACTGAGGCTCTAAGTCTGGAGTTTCCCCAGGAGGGCCATCCCACTCTCAGTGTCAGAGTAGGAAGCGAAGGCAAATAGAGAGGACAAAAGAAAGCCATTGGGAGATTCTGTAACCTCATACCACGTCCTCTAAGAAGCAGAAGAGGACAACTGACTCTTAGGCTTGTAAGATAGGTAGGACTAACAGAACGGGGCATTCCCTGGGGACAGAAACAGAATCACCATCCTGATGGCAGCTTCGTGGCCAGGGCAACCAGCACTACCTGGGCATCAGGTTCCTTTCTGTAAAGTAGGAATATATATGCCCTCAGATACCACAGCTACTCAATAGGCATTAGAATAATATGGAAACTGCCAAGGAACACAGGGAGAGATTTGTGTTATCACTCACAATTAAAGCAAGGGCTGGTTATAGCTCAGTGGTAGAGCACTTGCCTAGGATGCTCAAGGCCCTGGGTTCCATCCCCAGGAACTGAACTGAAAAAAAGAAAAGTAACAATTATGGAAGCTTTCAGAGAGGAGTAAGAGCAGCTGGGGCCATAGCTCAGTGACAGGGCACCTTCTTAGCAGGCCTGAAGTCTGGGGTGTAGCCCCAGAACTACAAAATGAGGAACACTTTTAAAAATGGCAAACTGTGGTGGAAAAAGAATTCTCTGGTATGTTCTTGTACAGATGAGAGTATTTCAAGGTGATTTTACAACTGTGATCAAAATATTTAATTCTAGTGTTCCATGTTAATTTTTAAACATTTATTTGTGGGGCTGGGATGTTCCAGAGGATAAACTGTGGGACTTGGTTCTCTCCTTCCAGTATGTAGGTTATCAGGGCTGGCAAGCGGTGCTTTTACTCACTGAGATGTCTTGTCTGCCCCTCTACTGTACTGTTTTAAAAACAAGCGAGCAAACAAAACATGTCCTACAAATATCTGTACATAAAACATACAGTGACTATGCCAGTGTTTGGAATGTTTTAATCTCACTTTTTTCCAGGCTGCATCACACTCTGAAGTCCAGGCTGGCCTGAAATTCACTCTGTAGCCCAGGCTGGCTTTAAAGTGACCTCTTGCCTCAGCCTGCCAAGTGCTGAAACCATAGGCACAGCCACCATGCCCAGTTGTGGAGTATTAAATTTTTTAATTTATCTTATATGTATATATATGATGTTTGCATGTGTGTGGGTGTACACAGCATGGTGTGTGTATAGAGGTCAGAGGACAAATTGGCAGGGGTTGATTCTCTCCTTCTACCATGTGGAGCCCAGGAACTGAACTCAAGCCATCAGGCTTGGAGGCAAGTACCTTTATCTGCTGAGCTACCTCACTAACCCCATTTTGTGGGGGAGGAGTCTTTTTGAGCTCTGGCTCTCCTGCCCTCACTCCGTAGATCAGGCTGGCCTCAGACTCACAGAGATCCACCTGTCTCTGCCTCTGAGTGCTGGGATTAAAGGCGTGCACCACCACTCACAGCTACTAGCCCCATTTTATTTAAGACAGAAATGGAAAGCACCCATTGTCCCTCGGGAATTGGATGCTGGTTGTACAGAGCCAGGTGTGTTCATAGATGACAGGACCAAGAAGCCTCAATAAAGAATAATGGAGAGGTATGCATGCATGCACATACATGTATATGTATACACACACATATATACACATATGCACAGTTGGCATAATATGATTCCATATATGTAAGAAGAAAAAGACAATTCTATGCTCATAGATATAGAGGAGTTTCTGGAAGATCCTATTACTTCCTGTAGTTTTGAGCACTATAACAAGAAGCTGTGTGTGTGTGTGTGTGTGTGTGTGTGTGTGTGTGTGTGTGTGTGTGTGTGGTGTTTTGGAGATAGGGCTTGCCATGTACTAAGCCCAGAACTCACTGTGTAACCTAATCTGGCCTCAATGTTAAAATTCTCCTCCTGCTTCTGCCTCTTAAAATCTAGGATTATACAGTTACATGCCATCAAGCCTGGCTTTATTTTCCAGTTTATATTATTTTACATTATTTGAATACAATTGAAACAAAGTTGTCTTTTAAAAGAATCTAGGCCCTAATCTGGGTGCAGTAGCACATCTGTGTAAAGCCAGCTCTCAGGAAGCTAAGGCAGTAGGTTCTCAAGTTCAAAGCCATCCTGAGCTACATGGTGAGACCTTGTCTCAAAAATCAACAGCAGCAGCCACATATGGTGGCGCACACCTTTAGTCCCAGCACTCAGAGGGCAGAGGCAGGCAGTTCTCTGTGAGTTTGAGGCCAGCCTGGTCTACGGAGGGAGTTCCAGGACAGCCAAGGCTATATACAGAGAAATCCTGTCTTGAAAAACTACCACACAAACACACACAAATCATCATCATCATCATTATCATCATCCAGGCCCAAAGGAGGCCTTCCAGGAGGAACAGTAAGAAGGCTGGGAGAAAGATGGTCACATGGAGGCCTATGTGAATAGGGAGCCTGGAGACTCTTGAGCCCAGAGGGATCACACAGGCCTTACTGCCCTGGAAATCCAAATGCCTGCTGCTGAGACAAAATGCTTGGCAATGAAATCTCTGTCACACTCTTACAGTGCTGAGCACTCACTCCTCTAGGAAAGGCCGCTTCCCAGGCCTGAGCTCCTGTCTTCCACTCCTCAGGAAAGCTCAGCTCCTGGAGTCCTAGCCCACATTACACATGGGCCTTGTGAGCCTGTGTGGGTACCAGGGAGGTAGCGCAGAGCCCACTTCTGGGTCCTGATGCCATACCTGTAATCTCATGCTGTCGCAGCTCATTGTACTTGTAAGACTGCTCCAGGGGCTTGATGGATGTATGGTAGATCTTCCGCAGCCGCTGCAGTACCGCTGGGAGAGAGGAGCAAGGAGTGAGCATCAGGCAGGGCCAACCCCATGCTGCTTGCTCCTCACTCCAGAGCGATCTCATACCCCAAGAGAGTCTATCTCTGCCTGGTGAGGAGGAAAACCATTGGCAACCCAAGATCGTGACATGACTGTGTTTGGGAAGGAGCTGGTCCACATCCCACCCTCAGAAATCCTCAACCCAAAAGCATTTTCCTACCTAATCTGCAGAGCCTCCTGAGCTATTTAAGAAACAAAACAAAACAAAGAACTAATTCTTGGCCAGGCACCATGTCATACACTTTTAATCCTAGCATTCAAGAGGCGGAGTGGCTGGATTTCTGTGATTCCAGGAGCATCCTGGTCAACATAGCAAGTTCCAGGCAGCCAGGATACACAGTGGGACATTGTCTCAGTAATAGTAATAGACTAACTCTTGGGCAGGGATGTGCCTCAGCTGGTGAAGTGCTCACCTCCCATGCACAAGCACAGAACCCTGGGTTCAGTCCCTAGCACCATAACAACAACAACAAAACAAAAAACAGGTTTGGCGGCACATACCTATGATCTCTACTCAGGGGCGATAGCAGGAAGATCAGGAGTTCAAGGTTCTCCTCTGCCACATAGGGAGTACCAGGCCAACCTGAGCTACATGAGACACTGTCTCAAGAAAAATTAAATTGAACCCCAATACTCTCTTTCTTCCTCACCTCAATGTCATAAGAAAAGCTAGGTTGCTTTCAGCCTGGCTGAAAGCTCTGTCCTTGGGAGATGAGAATCTCATGTCTGTGCCTCTGTTTGTGCTGGCGAGGTCTACAGTGTAAGGAGGTTGGGTGCCCAGCAGGCCCATACACAGTGCTCCCTGGAGGATTCAGACGTGCCCATGTTCTGGGGGAGCAGAAACCCAGGGTGCAACTGAGAGCTGTGGGGGGGGTGTAGCACAAGAGGACAGTGTGGGGAGCAAGAAGCAGGCTAGTAATGCTCTGGTCCTTGTACTGCCATTTTCTGGCTGTATGCCAAGAGCAAATTGGTGTATTAATCTGTGCTTGGCTAGTTAATTAAGAAAGGATAACAAGCCCCCACTGAAATCCTTGGTTCATTATGGGGCAAAATAAAACATGAGAAATGAAAGCTTTGTAAACTAAAAGCCAAAGCAGATAAGATGGATTCTTATTAACCATCCTCCCTGCCCAAGGATGGTGGTGGGGTGGTGGGACGGTGGGTTGCATCTTACAGGTGATGGCTCTGGAACTCACCTCTGTTCTGACACTGGACCCTCTGCTTGGTTATCTTCCTCCTCCCCCTGCCTTGGCCTTGTTCACAGAGTTACCTCACACAGAGCTCTGGTGCCTGGATCCCAGCCCATCTCCTTCCCCAGTCACCTGTGTAATCATCAGCTGGCTTGTCCTCATTCAGCATCAGGGTTTTCTCAATATGGGAGCGGTCCCTCATGGGAGCCTCTTCACTCACATCCTCAGTCTCTTCTGGGAAGAGAAGCAGACAATGTAGGGTCAGAGCAAATCTAAGCCAGCAGAGCTCTAAGCTTCACAGAGATGGAGCAGGGCTGGGCCTCAAGTAGATGCAGAACCAATGAATTTGAAATGTAAATACAACTTTCAAGGGCTGGAGAGATGGCTCAGAGGTTAAGAGCACTGGCTGTTCTTGCAGAGGTCCTGAGTTCAATTCCCAACACCCACATGGTGGCTCACAACCATCTGTAATGAGATCTGACACCCTTTTTTGGCATGCACGCAGAACACTGTATACATAATAAATAAATCTTAAAAAAAAACCATAACTTTCAAGACCCATGATCTATGTGTGTATTCATGTATGTGTAAGTGTACAGGAGTGTGCATGAGCACATGTGTGTGGGAATGTGTGGAGGCCAGAGGTCAATCCCTGATGTCATTCTTCCAGATCTATCACCTTGTTTATTTGTTTATCTGTCTTATTTTTCATGAGGTCTGTCATTGGCACCTAGGGCTCCCCACCTAGGCTTGACAGGCCAGTGAGCCCCAAGGATCTGTGTGTCTCTGGTCACCAGTGTTGGAATTACAAGTGCACAACACCACACTTGGCTTTTTACATGGGACCTGGAGATCAAACTCAGACCCTCACAGTTGTGCAGTGAGCATTTCACTCTGACGGTTGGTTTTAATGTCAGCTTGCCACACATTAGTGTCACCTGTGTAGGGAGCTTCATTTGAAGAACTGTCCTGATGCCTTAATTGATGTAGGAGAGCCCACCCACTGTAGGTGGCGTCATTCCTAAGCAGGTGGGCCTGGGCTACTTAAGAAAGCTAGCTGAGCAAACCAAAGGGAACAAGTCAGTAAACAGTGTTCCTCCATCATCTCTGTTTCAGTTCCTGCCTCAGTTTCCCTCAAGTAGATAGACTGTAACCTGTAAGCGAAATAAATTTTTTTCTCCTCCAAGTTGTTTTTGGTCAGTGTTTTATCACAACAGAGAACAAGTAGGATGCTGACGAAGCTACCACTCCACCCCATTTACTGTATTTCTTTTTCTAACTGTGCTGAGCATAGAATGTGGTGGCACACACCTATAACCCTAACAGTCCAGAGGCCAAGACAAGTGGCACTCAAGTTTAGGCCAACCCAGGCTGTATAGCAAGGCCTTGTTTCAAAAAATAAAACAAATGTACTGAACACCTATCACGTGCCAGGTGCCAGATGTCATGCTGGCACCACCGTGACATCTACACAGTGACACAGTGACACAGCTCCTGACCTTAGGAGGTCATCCTGCAGCCTAATGGGAACGAACTGATGAACTGTCTTTAAAACGTGATCATTTGAGCAGCAAGGAGGCTATAGTAGCTTTGAGGGCCTAAGAAGAATGCCTGCAGGTTTTGGGGGGAGTGTGGCAGGGGGTGCAGAGACCCCTTCCCTGACATCTGCTATTGAGCCAGAGTTAGTAAAGAAAAGAAAGCAGTTTTCTGTGACGAGTCACGTAGGTAGCCTGGCAAGGAGTGGCCTAGGTCCTCCAGGAGTGGACTAGACATCCTTAAAGACCATCACAGGGGCTTGCATTTTATCCCAGGGCAAAGAGAGCCACTGAGACACTCTACTTACACTGAATGAACTACCTTCATTCAGTTCTACTCTCCTCAACTGAATGAACATCTTGTCAGCTTAACACTGATGGGAAATGAGTGGAAGGAAGCGCTGCAGGTATGTGAGTGTACCTATATGTGCTGGCAGTCACAGACAGGTCAGCTGTCCCACTGACCAAGCAAACAAGAGACACCCACACCTGATGAGTCCTGGGAAGGATGTTGTTCATGTTCCTGGCCTCTAAGGTCACTCATTTCTAGCAAAGATGCCTATTCAGGGATCTTAGATTATCAGGAGGGTGTAGCTTAGGCTTGTGGGATAGAGGGAGGCCAGCATCTGCATGTCTTATACAGCATTTCAGGCAGTCCCTGCTCCCAGATCCAGATTAGGAAAGATAGAGAAAGGGGAGGAGCTTACTGCTTGCAGTTCTACCTCTCTAAAGAAAGCATAAGTACATAAAGAAGAGTATGAACATTAAGTTCTGCAAGAAGCTGGACAGGTAGCGCATGCCTATAATCTCACAGCATTCTAGAGGCTGAGGCAGGAAGATTAGGAGCTCAAGACCACTTTGACTATTACATAATGAGTTTATGCCTAGCCTGAAATATGTAAGCTCCTGTCTCAAAGTGGGAAAATAGCTTTAAGGAAATCTGTAAGGAAGCCATCTGGGAAAGTGACAGTGAGAACACCACCCAGCCTCTGCTCTGAAAGCCACCTTCTGTTCTAGTCACACGTATCACACGAGGTCTTCAGGTCTGACCGTGTCATCCCTAATGCTGCCCAATAGCTCAGCCCCTCTCCTCCCTCTTCCCTGTCCCTTGAGGGCTGCCCTGCTTTAGAGGAGCATTTAAGAGTGGTCAGCCTCAGCTCTCACACCATGACCCTGACCCTCAGTTCCTGATGTTCACACCTTATGTGGGAAGTCTTCAAGAGCAGACTCAGCTGGAAGAAGAGTGCCCTGTGGTTCCTAACCTACCCCACCAACTCCCTGCATCTCCTTCCACCAGCCAGTCTCAGGACCGCAAACCTGCCATCAGTCCCCTTGTCCTTAAGGCTGATGATCCACATCTAGCAGCCCTAAAGAGGAGCCTTCTTGGTCCTAACTCAGAAATGGTCAGGTCCCTCTGAAGCCTCTTGCTAGATCTATCCACACTGAAGTTAAGTGGCTAAGGAGCTGCCTAAGTGGACTGTCTGGGTTAATCCAAGAGACAGCGCCCTGCCTAACAAACCCAGAACTAACCAAGGATTATCCCATGCCCCCATATTTGTCCCACAGTATACAAGATGTCCATAAAGACTGTATCTGCCCGAGATTCTGGGATTGCCTTGAGGAATGAAGTCCTACCCTGATGAGCAATTACAGGATTCCCTCTGCCCTGTTGTCTCTCTTTGGATGCCTCCGCCTCTGTATCCTGGGTCTTGCCACCCTCGGACCCCGTGTCCAAATCTTCCACATCAAGCTGGGTGCCTTCCACCTCGTGTTCTGGGGTTCCTGCTGCTTCCTGGGCCTCTCCGGCCTCCCCAGGGACGTCCTGCTCTTCTTCTGAGCTAGCTCCATCACCACTGCCTTCTTCAGACTCTTCTTTAGACGGAGCTCCACCTTCTTCACCACCCTCTTCCTCAGAGGAGGCCTCAGCCGGGCCCTCCTCAGGCATCCCTGACACCTGGCCCTCAGGAGCGGAGTTCTCTGTCTCCCTGGAACTCTGGGTGTCCCCAGACTTCTCATTGGCCTCTTGACTAGGTCTAGGTTCCCCTTGGTCCTCAGCCTTCTCCCCAACTTCTGTATCCACCTCAGCCTTTGATTCTTCTCCAGCAGATGTGGCATCTGGGGCTGTAACTAGCTCTGTAGGCTGATGACCAGACCCTGGGCTAGCCTCGACTTCTTTTTGAGAGGAATGGACGTGGCTCTGGTCAGCTGCTCGTTCTGCAGCTTCTGCCTCTACTCCAGAAGACATGTTGTCAGAGACTGAATCGAGGTCAGGGGCCTGGGGATCGGGCCCTGAGACGGCTTCCTCTTCCGTCTGCAGGGCGTGGCCCTGGGGCTGGTGCTCTGCCCGCTCCCTGGCTTCTGCAGCTGTGTCAGCCTCTGATTCATCTCCAGCAGATGTGGCATCCTGAACTCCGTCTGCGGATTGGTGACCAGACCCTGTGTCATCCTCCCCTCCTGCCCCCTCTGTGCTAGGAGGGACCTGGGTGGCTGCAGACTCTGTTGTCCCTGCTGCTGCTTCTGTCATGGGGCTATCTCCTACACTCCCCTGGAATTCCTCAGGAACCTCACTACTTCCTTCTTGTACTTCTGCCCCCATATTGGCAGCCCCCTCTGTGGGGAGCCCTGGCCCAACCTCCTCCTGTCCTGGTTCCCCTCCAGAACTGAACTCTGGCCTCTCTTCTTCTGGCCCCTCGACCCCTCCTGGAGAAAGGGTGCCTGCTGCTGGGCCCTTCTCTTCCTCCCCAGGCCCTTCAGCATCCCCAGATGGAGCTGACTCTGCAGCTGAGGTATTGGACAGGCTAGCTTCAGATTCGGAGCCCTGGCCGTTGGCAGTGGAAGGGGCCCCTGCTGGGGTCTGCTCCAAGCTCTCAGCCTCCCTGCCGTCTGGGTAGTGAAGGAGCAGGTTCTTGTCTCCAGGGGCCGCATCTGCATAAAGCGCCCTTTCTTTCTCCTCTAGACTTGCATCTCCAGCAGAGAAATGATTCTCCAACAAATTGCCAACATCTTCTGTGCCACCCGAAGCAGAGACTTGCAGTTCTAAATGATTAGAACATGATTGGTCAGTTCACAGGGTCGGCACTTGCCCTGCTTCTCAAGAGTCTATATCAGTCTAGCTCCCACTGCAGAGAGCACCATATGTGCCTGGTTTCCAACGTTATGCCTCCCA